CCCTGACAACAACAACAACAACACAAAGTACCTGCATTATGCTCTTTTAAGAACTATTTCTATGGGATCAAATTGAGAACAGCAACTCACAAGATTTGACAGGAAATTTAGAGGCCAGGGAATATTTGTTATAGGGGGAGAGACGACTTAGAGAAAGGAGGCCGAGGATGGTTATAAAACTGGCAGAATGCCATCCATGCCACTGAATTATCCACATAGATGAGCCTGGTGAATTGGTGTGTGTTCTGCTGTGGATTGTCACAGCAACTAAAAGAAAATCCATGATAAAAAACAACCATGCCCCCAAGGATTTGGGAGGAGACAGTCACATGTTAAACATTAACACACGGTGGCAGAAAGAGAAGCAGGATTAGGCTGTTTCCTAGCATAGCAGGGCTTCTGCTGTGGGCAGAAGTGACATCTGAGTAAAGACCTGAAGGAGGAGGTGAGGAGAATGGAGACGCTGAGGCAGGACTGGCCAGGTGGGGCGGGGCAGGGGGACTGTGGGAGAGTTGAGGGGATTCTGTGTAGGTTCTTGGAGGGTGTGGTAAGGACTTTGGTTCTTCCTGAGAATTGTTGTGGTGAAGGGTGGGGGAGGGGGAGGCTAATCATTAATTAACGCTAATCATTAATTAATGCTGACTGGTGTCTGTGATAGGGGTCTGGAATTAGCCTATCACGGAGTTTGAGAAATCTGGTCTGGTCCAGAGGCCTCATTCTCTCCAAAGATGGGTCCTGGGCCCCACCCTGTCAGCTGTCTTGGGGGCCCAGGTGCAGAACACACCTGTTTTGCTAGGTGGAGATAATAATCTTGAGATGTTTCCATGATTACTACTATTCAAACAAGGAGCTCTGGTAGCGTAGTGGTTACGAATCGGGCTGTGAACCACAAGGTCAGCAGTTTGAAACTACCAGCTGTTCCACGGGAGAAAGATGCGGCTTTCTGCTCCCGTAAGGATTACAGCCTCGGAAACCCTGTACAGGGTTGCTCTGAGTCAGAACCGACTCCACGGCACATAACCACCACCACTACTATTTAAACATGCAGAAAGGTATAGCTGACTCACGGTGCTAGTATGGGTACATGAGCAGCCCATCGTCGGTCAGCACCCAGGGGAACCCCTCTCCCGAATCCTTCCACATGGGTGACTTGCCCTTGAAGATCACACACACTGTTCCACCCTGGGCTGTGTCTGCCTCATTCACTCAGCAGCGTGTCTGGGAAGTGGCTACATCACTGTGTTTTGCATATTATGATGTTTGGGGTGAAGGTTTACAGAGCAAATTAATTTTCCATTCAACAATTCATATATAGTCTGTTTCATGTCAATGACTGCAATCCTCACAATGTAACGACTCTCATCTGGCTTCTTCCCTGGGCATTCCCATTCCCATCCTTCCTTCCCTAATCCTTCCTACCTTCTAAACTTTACCCATGGGCACATGGCTGCCCTCTTGATATCAAATGGTTGATGATTCTAAGGAATGAATACTTCCTGGTAATATTGGTCCTCTTATAGACCACCTACAGGTTTTGGCTGAAAATTGAGCCATGGGGGTGAGTTGGTCTCGGGGGTTCTGCAATTTCTATCCAACTGGTAAGCCTACTGGGCTTTTCTGTTTTTATGATTTTGAGTTTCAGTCCACATTTTCCTCCCACTCTATCCAGGACCTTTGAATGTGGTTGTTGGTGGTAACCAGGCACCATTTAGTTCTTCTGGACTTAGGGTTGGAGAGTCAGAAGTTTGGGGCCTGTGTTTTTCACTGCAGTGTAGTATCTCATCCTATGGCTAGACCAGGATGTATTTACCCCTTTCCACTGTTGATGATAGATACCAGGAAGGCTGGTGATTTGAACTCACACAGAGGCACCTTGGAAGGCAGGCCTGGTCATCTGAACAAACCTGTGGAGCAGTTGGACTCACCGTGAGTTGGGATGGACTTGGTGGCAATTGCACTGTTGATGGGCATTTGGGTAGTTTCTGGTTTTGGACTATTGTAATTAAGGCGGCTAGGAACATTCTGGAACTGCTCTTTGGTGGACAGAGTTCTTGTTTCTCTTGGGAGGAAGTGTGGGGTGTAGGGTTAGTGGCTTAGGGTCCTGGGGCTGCTAGAATAAATTTCCACAAACACGACCACTTAAAACAATGGACATTTATTCTCTCTCAGTTCTGAAGACCAGAAGTCTGAATTCAGGGTGTATGTAGGTGCGGCTATGCTGCCACCAAAAGCTCGAGGGGAGGATGCTTCCTTGTCTCCTGTTTCTGGTGGTCCCAGGCATTCCTTACCTTGTAGATGCATCTTCATATGCCATCTACCCCATGTGTCCCAGTGTCTCTTCTCCTCTTGTCCATGAACACCACTCTGATTGTACTGGGCACAGCGATGTTTCAGTGATAGATGGTCACCTTGCACGGGCAGCAGTTACCATCTATCAGTGAAGGCTTCTGTGTGACTGTGATGCTGAATATGTTTGCAGTGGAGTCACACTAAGGTTACTAGGAAGAAAGTCCTGGCAATAAACTTCCAAAACAGCCAGTGGAAACCCTACGGGCCACCATAGACTGTTGTGCAGCTCACTTGGTTTGGACATGTCATCAGGAGGGATCAATCACAGTAGATTGGCTGCAGGATGAAGGAGACCCTCGGAGAGATGGATTGGGGCACTAGCTGCAGCTACGTACCCAGACATGCTGTGGTCAAAATGCCTCCGGACCAGGCTGTGCTTGGCTCTGCTGTGCCTACTGCCACTGAGAACAGGAACCGACGTAACCAACACGATGGCCACCATCAGCTAACAAGGGCCCCTACAAGGCCCACCCATCAACCTGCCCGACTGTGTGTCTGTGTGTCTGTGTAATCATCTAAGTTTCTACCTGAGAGCCAATGTTAATTCCTACATGAAATAGTTTGCTGAATCTGAGAATTAAAGAATTTTTTTTTAAATTGTGAATTGGGTGAAGGTTTACAGAGCGAACCAGGTTTCCAAGCATCAACTCACACTCAGTAAGTTTCATGTCATTAACTACAGTACGCACAATGTAACATCCCTTGTCCCTCTTCCTGTTTCCCATTGACATTCTTTCCCATCCTGTCATCTGAACTTTGTTCTTGGACAATTGCTGCCCTTTTGATCTGTTTATTGTTCTAAGGTTGAGTGAAGAGCTTGGTGGCTCTATAGGATAAGTACTGAACTGTGAACCACAAGGCTGCTGGTTTGAGCCCACCAGCCTCTCCATGGGAGAAAGATGAGGCTTTCTGCTTCCTAAGCTGAGTTAGAAGTGACTCAGCAGTACTTAACAGCCAAGGGTGAGTACCTTTAGCTGAATATTGAGCTATCAGGGTGAGTTCAGTTTCAGCTATAGTGTCAGGGGCTTCAGCAGCCTCTCACTGGCAAGCCTGCTTTTTGTTGTCTTTATGTGAATTTGAGGGTCTTTAAAAACGGAAATACATTCTTGTTAAATTGTCCATTGTTTGTTTTTAAACTAAAGAACCAAGCGAGGAAGTGACATTCATTACCCCATGTCACGTGGCCATACTGAACACAACGCTGTCCTGCTGAGAATGACCCACCCCAGCATCAGAACACCAGGCAGTGGCTGCCTAAAGGGCACCAGGTCATCTTGTCCACAGGAGTATGGCAAGGGGACAGTCTCCCAATCTGGAATACCCCTCCCCTTCACCAGAATCAGAGCAGGGCCTGAAAATCACCCAGGGCAGACTCAAGGTGGCCCATCCCATTGTCTGTCCTCTGGGTGCTCAGGCAGACCAGTGGTTCAGGGGCAAGGCAGGTCTCAGGGAGCGCTAGACCAAAGACCAGATTCCCATTCCCTGAATAATCCCTACATGACAATGACACATAGGGGATGGGTGTCAATGGCGGGGCGACAGTAACAGCAGCATGGGTGCCGTTAGGAGGTGGCTGATGGAAAAACAAGGACACGGAGCATGTGGAATGCCGTCTTTTCCACGCAGTGCTATGGAGTGTCCACCAGGGGGCGCACAGGCTCCACGCATCCACTCAGAGCCTGGCTGCACTTCGGGGTGTCAGGTTGGCGCTGCCAAGCTTCTTCTGGTCCTGAGCTGTCTCAAGCACTACTGGGTCCCTGGCATACAGTAAGTGTTCACTACTCGTCATTGGAATGCATGAATAAACAGAAGGTTTGATGTTAGGGAAGGAAGTGTTTGCAAGAATAAAAGGTAGTTGGGGAAAATGAACCAGAGACAATTACCATCTAACTGATGGCCACCTGCAAGGTCAGGGGTTGAGCGGATCAAGACCTGCACATCACACCCCACCTGCTGACTCCCAAAGAAGGGTCACTCCCCCCAGCCCACTCGCTTCCCCTGCCCTTCACCCCACCTCCCAGAAAAATATACAACCACTTGTGACAGTGTCACAAGTGAATATATGACGGTGTGCGTGTGAATGGCAGAGAGCAGAGGGAGCACAGTGTGCTGATAAGATAAGGATGAGTTTCCTGGTAGCCAGGGCAGTAAGGGAAACTGGTATGTATGTATATATATGAAGGGGCTTAAGAAGTTCTTGGAAAAATGGAATTAAAACAGAATTCAATTTGACCCTGCAGTTGTTGAAGCCCTCTCTTGTATGTGTGTATGTTACAACAACGTTAGGCAGATCTTCCTTTGTGTCATGTTCATCTGTAACAGTGCCTGTAATTAATGGAGCAAGAGACAAAGGCGATAAATGGAAACACAGTGTCTGGGCGTAAACTAGCTATGTGCTTCCGGGCAGCCAGGGAGACAGAGATTAGGGTTTAAGAGTCTACTTAGAGTATGCTCGGCAGATCCTGCTTACTCCTGATAGTGGATCTCACTGGGTACAGGGGGTTTGAGTGTGTATGTGACTGGAGTCACAAAATTGTCATTGGATTATGCCTGAACTCTCTGGGAGCCAGGACGAGGAGAAATCCGTAAAGTTTCAGCCTGCGCACGGTGTGTTTCTTGAGGTTTGTAATCGGGGTCTTGTCCAAAAAGGTTCAGACAGGGCAGTGCCGGGCAGCCAGGCGCATGCGGCTATCCTCTGCGGGGCTCCAGGGACGGGCATAGCCAGAGTGGGGCAATAGCAGTCGGTCCTGTGTACCATCAGGGCTGACCACACGCCGGGCAGCCAGCAGGTATTCACGATGAGGGGCCAGTGGTGGGCAGGGGCAGAGGCCTGGTGCCCACACATACTCGAGGGTCCGGAGTGGAGAGCGGTTCTTGTAGACCAGCTGAACGCGCACCTCGTAGCAAGTCTCCTGGGCTTGGTGGCGGCGGCCAAGCACAAGTGCCCTGAAGACTGTGTAGGTGGGTGGGTGATAAAGCCACTGCAGACTCTCCCCCAAACCCATGCACACAGCCTACTGCACAGAAGAGGGAAGCAAGGGCTGGGGAACCACTGGGGAACAGGGGGAAGGAGCTGGGGCCTGGGGTCAGGTCATCAAATTGGGATTGGATCAAGGGTGAGGCTGGGTCACTTGGGTGGGCATGAGTCACTTAGCGTCATGAGTCAAGTGAGGCCAGGCCACTTGGGGTTAAGAGAGCTGGGGTCAGTTGGAGTCAGGTAAAAGCTACGGCCAACCAGGGTCATTGTGAGGGCTGAGACCACTTGGGGTCAGGCGAGGCCGGGTCACCTGGGTTAGGTCAGGGCTGGGGTCTCACCGAAGTCACTGCCACAGTAGTGGAGCAGTCGGTGGGCGCGGCCACGGGTGTCCGGACAGGGGTCACAGGGGTCTGTGGGGACAGGATGGTGAGGAGGGCAGGCCACACTTTCCTGCTTGTTCCCCCCCTGGCAGACTCCACCTTACCTGGGCTTGGGGTTGGGGTCAGTGGGGGAGTGGCAGTGGGGACTGTGGGGGGCCCCGGGGGTAGAGTCTCCACCTCCCGAGGCTGTGGCTGTCGCAGGGACCAGCCCAGGGCCTGGGCCTGCACCTGGAAAGGGCCGTATCTCTCACGAGGGAGCCAAAACTCGAACTCGATGCCGGGGTTGGGCTCCTGCAGGAAGACCTGGGGGGAGACGCCAGGCACCTAGAGTGAATTGTAGCCTGTCTGCCTCCATTGTCTGCCCCTCGCCTCTCCCCTCAGACCCTCCACACCCCCAGCCTATCCCTTGGAGACCCTGCCCTATACCTGCAGGTGCAGGTCGTGGGAAGTGGGCCCAGCGGCGTGCAGTGTCTCCTCTGGTCTGGAAACTGCGCGGGTGTAGACCATGCGGGTCCCCGCCACCTCGTAGGTCCCAGGTGGGCTCACGGCCCAATTCCCGTTGAGCACGTAGCGCCCGTCAATCCCCATGAGCGCTGCAAGGGAAGGGTCAGAGGGACGCCTTACCCTGACTTCCGTCTCCCCAGGTATTGATGGGGACCGCTACCCGCACCTGGCGGCCCCCCATCCCTCCAGACCCTGTGGTACCCAGGTGGTTGCGGCTCTGATGGGTGACTCGGAGGTGTCTCGCACCCTCGGGAATCACGGTCACATTCCAATATCCGGCGAAGGCACCTAGGTGAAAAGGTGGGGTGTGTAGAAACCGCCGCAGGAGTGATTTGAAAATTAAATTAGATACTGCAGGTGAGGCGGTTATCAGGGTTCTGGAACCCAGAAAACGCTCGGGTAATGTTTAAAGGCTTAAAAGCGGCAGGGACGGGGTTAAAGCCCGGACAATTCTGGGATGGGCGGGACAATCTGGTTGCACCCAATCAGAATGATCATCGATGGGGCTATGTCGCAGAAGGCCCAATCAATGCAGGACTTCGCTTCCGGGCCCAATTTTAGTTAAAGGGCCAGCTCCTGGCTCTTCCTGAGGACGGGGCGGGCGGTCACCTGTGTCACGGAACACTCGCTGTACGAAGAGGCACGAGTCGTTGGCGCCGCCGCAGTGTCCGCAGTGGTCTTCGCGGGCGTCCGAGCCCAGCAGCCCGTCACAACCGGCGCTCTAAAGGAGTGTGGAGACGAGCGCTTTGTCACGGACGGTCCCAACGGGGGAAGGGACGGAGTTCGAGCACTAGGAGGGTTGGCCAGGGGAGAGGGCGGATGCTAACGCTAATAGAAAGGAGCCTGAGAGGAATGGGGTCAGAAAGTGAAGGAGGAGGTTGGGGTGGGGCCTAGGGCAGGGGCGGGGTTTGAAGGTAAAAGGCCTGGCATCTGAAGGGAGGGGCTCTTCTGGAGGAAATAAAGGCCGGATCTGGAGGGGTAGTGGCTGCTGACCAGGTTATCGGACCAACGCACCGGGAAAAGATGGGGCAATCTGCCCCTGTAAAGTTGTGACGTGCCTGGGAGTCAGTTTGGACTCATAACGACCCCCTTGTGCTGCAGAACCTACCACCTTCACAGCTTTGCTCTGCTGAGCCCGTTGTGGCTACTGTAGCCATCCATCTTCAGGGTCTCTCTGTCTCTCTTTTTTCTGATCCTCCACTTTGCCAAGCATGATGTTCTTCTCCAGAGACTGGTCCCTCCTGACAACATGTCCAAAATAGGACAGCTTTAGTTGTCATCTTGCTTCTAAGGAATATTCTAGCTGTGCTTCTTCCAAGACAGATTTGTTTGTTCTTCTGGCAGTCCACAGTCTATTCATTATTCGTCACCAACACCGTAATTAAAAAGCATCAAACTTTTTTATTCATTGTCCAGCTTTCACATGCATATGTTGTGGTTGTGAAGTGTCACCACTGAGTTGGTTTCAAATTCATAGCGACCCTGTATAGAGTTCCCAAGGAGCAGATGGTGGGTTTGAACCGCCGACCTTGAGATTAGCAGTCCAGTGCTTATCCTATAGTGCCACATATGAGGCAACTGAAAATACGATGGTGTCTGCTGTCTTTGGCTGTTGATACTTTCAAGAGATTTTTTACAGCAGATTTGCCTAATGCAACGCATATACTGTAAAGATTTCAACCAATGAAACGATACGGCACAGTCTTACTCTGTTCCGTGTTGTTAAGTGTCGTGGAGTCGTTTCCTACCCATTGGGGGCCTGTATAGGGTTTCTGAGGAGTGGTTGGTGAGCTTGAACAGCCAACCCTGCGGTTCAAACTAACTTTGCAGTCCAGCGCATTAACCTGCAGAGCCACACCAGGATTCTGTTTTGTGGGGTCGCTATAGTGTCACTATGGCTAAGAATTGACTTAATGGTAATGGATTTGGTTTTGGGATTGGAGGTTGAGACCTGAATGGAAAAAGGGTAAAATCTAACCAGGGACAAGAACGGGATGGGGATTTCTGGCAAAAGGGGAGGGGCCTTGAAGTCAGGGGTGGGGTCTGGAGAGGACTGGAGACAGGTAGAGAAGTGATGGAACACAGGCCTGGCCTAGGCAGGGGATAGTTGGTCCTGAGAAGGGGAAAAGGGAATTAAGCTGGGGACGGGGTCTGCAGGAGATGCGGATGGGTCCTGGGGAGTTCTCACAAGGCAGCGGCCGGCCACGCAGAGCCCCTCCATGCCTGGGCTGCAGGGGGTACCGTCCAGGACGCGGCCAAAACTGTGGTAGAAGGTGTGGCCCTCGGCCAGGCAGTTGAGGTCACACTGGTTGGGTGCTGCGGAGAGTAAGATGCCATTTGAGTCTCAGCGCCCCTTCAGGTGGCTTTCAGAATTGCACCCCATTGGGCAGATGGAGCCTATTAGGTGCCAGACTCACAGGAGTTCCAAGAATCCTCTGGTGGGTTTGAACTGCCGACCTTATGGTTAGCAGTCCGGTGCTTATCCTACAGAGCCACACCAGGACTCCTACATGGAGGGCCTAGAGATAGGCAAAGCTACATTTGGTGGTTGAAGTGGAACCAGGATTGGCTCAAACACATTCTGCCTTGACTTCCTTGGAACACTTTCCAGCAAGTATCCTGTGGCTGCATTCATTCATCCACTCATGCCCTATTCAAGAAGTCTTTCTGTGGATAACAGTATGTTGTTAAATGCCGCTGAGTCGGTTCCAACTGCGAGTGATCCTATATAGGGTTTCCGAGGAGCGGCTGGTGGGTCTGAACTGCCTTTTCGGTTCAAGCCGAACTTTCAGTCTAGTGCTTTATCTTACAGCACCACAACATGATGATGGTGGTGGTGGTTATGTGCTGGAGAGTTGGTTCCGACTCATAACAACCCTGTATGAGGTTTCTGTGGCTGCAGATCTTTATGGGAGTGTAAGCCTCCTTTTTCTCCCGAGGAATAGCTGATAGTTTTGAACTTCTGACCTTTAGGTTAGCAGACTGACTTGTAACTACTACACCATTGTAATGTT